CCCACTTGATAATAAAGAGAAACAGAAAAACAATAAGTGGGAATGCATAAGCATTCCCACTTGATAAGCTGTGGTCAAATGTGTTACCTATGTGAGGTGGAAATAAGGTTCAGGATGGGGTCAGTACTATGGATCGCTAAATAATATAAATATGAATATTTAATAATATTTATGTGTTCAAAATAATGTTTTTTAATTGATAATTGGGGTGAAAAAGGGTGAAATATATTTGACTGTCCAATAAAAAAGTCACAGTTGGTTAAGGAAAAATGTGCAGATTTCAATGGCTGGCTGAACAATCAGTGCATCTTTTTTAAACATCTGGCTGCTATTAAACTCTGTTTTTTTTTAATCTTTTAACTCATTGTGTAAAAAAGACAATAAAAAGCAAACATGTCCACCAAATCCAGGCTGTGTGTCCATCTACCTTTGCACACACCCGTTTCTAAACAACCAAACATCCCATCCCCTCTCTCCTCCCCATCTGGCTGACCTTGAAGCCGGGCTTTCTCCCCCTTTTCTTCGGCACTTTGAGTGGTGGGAGTGACTCGGGGTACCGGTTAGGGAAATCCATCTTAGCCACGCTGCGGAGGGGGGGCCTCCCCCTCTTCCTGCCCGGTATCTTCCCCGGCTGGCTGGGGATGAAGGAAGGAGCCACTGCGGCCGACTGCATGTCACCGTTGCTGCTGCTGCTGCCTGACTTCTGTGCTGCTGCAGCAATTACGCTCATCTGGAGCTGCAGACAAAAGAAGAAGAAAAACACACATTCAGACATGCACTTTGCTTGCACATTGATCCTCCTCTGCTCCTCAGCAGCTGGGTACTAAGGAGCAGCATTAACCTCCATTAGAAGCAGGGGGGGAATTGCAAAGGAGACATAGATTTCAGCAACATCTGAACAGTAAAACACTCTAACCCACTTACAGAAGCAGCACTTAGCAGAGCTGCAATAATTAAACTAGACAAAGAGTAGCCATGCATGATCTCTTAGGAAACACCACCTCCATCCTGCACTGATAACATAAATAAACCTAATAGGGAAAGGGAGGTGACTATTACCTGCTGTCCTCTATTGTGAAAGCCCAACAGCAGAGACCTTTTGTTTCATATCCCACAGCCCTAAAGATGACAGTAAAGCTAAATTCCTAGCAATGCAGGAAAAGCATTCTAGCTTTTTCAGTGTGCTGCTTTTTTCCTCCTCTCCTTTTTGGTGAACACACTGCTGCTGCTGCTGCTGCTGCTGCTCGGCACGCAGGCTGCAGACATCTCATTAAACTAATGCATTCAGCACTGCCAGAGAGAGGGAGGGGGAAAGAGGGGGGGTGAAATTGACTTCACCATGGCTACCCAGCTATGAATTACCATTAAGATGACACAGTCCACCCTAGTCTTTAAAGAAGGGGGGGCAGATCAGGAATGTAGGCTCATCTTTCTTGCAGCAGCACATTTATCCAGAGACAACAAGCCTGCCGTTAGCATGAGCAGAATATTTTAAGAGGTCAGTCAAAGGATGGGGCACATAAACAAACATGAATCAATCATGGGCTGCACTCACCATCCAAGCAGATGTGCAGATGTGCAGATGTGCTGTATCCTTATTCACTCCCAGATAACGCCGGCTTTCCTCCCTGCCACCAAGAGCACAGCGCCTGTATGAAGCCGGATTCCACTGTAAAAATGTGTGTGTGTGTACAGCAGGCACTGACAGACAGTGAGCGAGTGACAATATGTGGGTGTGTGTGCATTAAAGAGACAGGGAGGGAGGGGAAACCTCTGTTGTCATGACAACAAGCCTGTAAGCCCTGCCAGTTGTCTGCCATGTTTTGTCGTAGACTCTGGCTGAGTGCAGCTGTGGAGGTGCAGCAGCAGAAGACTTTCCTGTTAGCTGCTGGGTATCATGCAGATGTTTTGTTGTGAGCAAAAGGCATTTAAGTTGGAAATGCATGAAATATATTGGCTTAAAATGGGATCGGTGGGATTTTTTCTCCCTTCATTATCCTTTAAAAACACACTGAGGGTATTTTAAAATGTACTGGTTGTAAAACAACTAAATATAAGCCTGAAAAAAAACCTGAAACATTTGTTTAAATTCAGTTTGATAAACAAATAATCTAAAGAAACAATAAAGTTTTTACAAGCAAGAAGCTGCCCTCTCAATAAAAACAGGATTAGATGATTTTACTCATGATTTATAGTGACAGACTAAAGCCCTGTATGAGCTTTAGCACGCTAGGAGCCCACAGTCTGATGCTCTTTCCGGTTCATGAATGATGTCACTTCCAGTTGGCTCAGCACATCAAAGCTCTTTTTATAACCAGTACAAGATTCTGTTAAGCATTAGGCTTATTTTTAAGGCTATTTATTACATTTAGGGCTTGGTTTAGGCATTGAAAGGAAATAATGTACGACCTGGAAAAGCCCTGAGACTGATGGCGTCCTTAGAATACTGCCTATATTCATTATTCTCAATTTTACACATGACCAGTGGGAAACTCCAATCCCGAATAACCACTAGTTCACTCTGACACCACTCTTCAGTGTGGTAGTTGCTACCAAATAAAAAAGAATAACATAGAGTCAGCTATTTCCAGTTTAATTAAGGTGTTTAAAATGAGTTAGAATTTTTTTAGAGAGGAAGCTATTTTCTACAGTGAAACTATTAACGTTCCCTAACTATCCAGGGTAGGAAAGGAGCTCAGGCTGCTGTGCTGAATCCAGACAGCCTTCAACCTTATGGATGTCATCACTAGACAGAAACAAACATGCATGATGTGAGTCAAAACTGGGGAAAAGAACTATAAATAAAGTTACACAAATGTAGTGAAGCTCTCTCTGTGACAGAAAGCAACATGAAACCACAACCCCCATTTTTAAAGTGCTGCTAACAGAAAGATTGGACTACAGAGACCAATATCACAGTTAGAATCTACTTTATTGAAAAGAAGGGGCGGATAGTCTGATAGATTCATACCCTGTCTTTTAATGATAGTTTTTCATCTCAATATATTAGAAATCATAAGCGTTTCTCACATGTTTTATTAATCTTTTTTTATTCCGTAACATAATTGTCTCATACTTTGTTAAATCATGTTTTTATATCCTACAAATAAGTTTCATAATGTTTAAAAACTATTTTCCCTCCTTATTTAGTCAATATTTAATACAGCTGAAAAAAAAAATGTAAATATAATGACACACAATTTGTTTAACTAATAATATTGTAAAAAATATTTATCACTTTATGTTATAAAAGGACGTCTTAAAAGAAGAGAAAACTCAGGTTCTTAAAGTTGATCAACTTTAAATAATTTTTTTATTGATAACTTGCATCCACAATGGCAACAACAACAAAACCTTCTGTAAAGCTGCAGTTAATAAATTAATTATTTATCAATCTTACAATACATTTGAGATTTTTACTGTCAGATTTTGGGTTGGTCATTTCAATTTTTTTCCGTACAGAAAGTTTAATATCTTATGATTTATTGCACGATAAAATAACCTTTAAAAAAAGGATAGGTGAGCTACAGTTGGTGTTGTAAAGGAGGGAAGGAAAAATGCTGAAAAAACTATTTTGTTTTGATGAATTCTACCATTTATGTTGATTTCCAGTAATGCAGACAGACTTATTTTACTGTCGACATTTTCTTGCCACGACAGTTTAATTGTTCTCTCTGAAAGATAATTAGCACTTGTCTGATCAGGTGGTAATTTCCTTTAATTTTTATATTTTCCGAGCATAAGGTTTTTATATCGTATTCTAATTTATAATCCTTACAAGCACAAAACTTACTGTGTTTAATGGAAACATAGCTGTAAAATGGAAGAAAAGGGATTATGTGGATTTTCAAAGGTTTTTAACCCATAAAAAACTGTTGTTTTCAGCTTATTTTTCTCTATTAACCCTAAATATATATATATATATATATATATATATATATATATATATATAT